CAGAGCCCGACGCGGGGCTCGAACTCACGGACCGCGAGATCGTGACCTGGCTGAAGTCAGACGCTTAACCGACTGCGCCACCCAGGCGCCCCTCAATAACTTTTAAAAGCATTTTCATTTTCTCTCTTCAGGGTCTATTTGCTCAGGGTCCTAAACTGAGGTGAACGTGCATTTGTTGGTTCACCAGAGCATTTTCTGACCTGGGGTCCACTATAGGGACAACTGTCTGTCAGCAGAGCAGAAAATCTGCCATCCAAAAAGGAGACAGGAGGGAGGAGAAAGGACCGCTATGTCCTTACTGGATAATGACTCCAGTTAGGATGTGTGTCTTGTCACATGGAGAGGAAGTCTCGTTGTTCACGTCTCTTGAGACAAACACCAAGGTGAGCCAAGACTGCCGGCTCCACTTCTGTGCATTTCAGCGTCGTTTTGTCCATCCTCAAGACTGAAGAAAACAGAATTAAACTGATGAGTGAAGACTCTGAACTAACTGTAAAATCCGTAATTTCTGATAGCAGGAACACTAGAACACTCTTCTAAGGAAGTCGGGGATTTGCAGAAGCTTGGAGTTACCTGGGACCACAGAAACAGTCCAGTCCAGCCCCATCCAGTGCCGCTGTCCTCTTTGTGGTACCCCACTGTGGTCTGTGTGTGATGCCCTCCAGGGAGGACTCCAGCATTGTCATTGTATTCTTCTCCATGTGATTAGGACGGGCGCTAGAGCAGCTAGTAGACTGGGAAACTTGCCTCAGCCAATTAGAGGATGCAGATCTCACCTCCCAGGGCAGCCCATCCTGTTCCGGGCTAGTTCTGACTGATGGAAAGCTATCTCCTTGCACTGGACACAAACTGCCTGCCCCATTCCATGCTCCTTACAGGGAGGCCTTGGTCCAGTCTGTCGGAGGCCTCCGGACCGCTTCAATTCTCCCACTTTCCAGTGTTTGCGGCATCTGAAGACACTGATCTTTTCCAGGTTAAGCATCCTGGTTTCCTTGACCATTCTTCAGATTATTTGACTTCCAGACCCCTCCTGGAACGAGCTGCTGAATAACCCGGTGGCATAGATGTGGGTGGCTGGAGTCCACTCCTAAACCCCAATCCCCAACGTGATGGTCCCTTTTCTGCCTCTATTGTTGGCTGCCCCGTGGCACTGGGTCCTGTGGATTGCTGCACTCTTCGTGAAACTCCAGCACGTGGCTGGCCACCCCTCGTGGCCCTCCTTCTGCCCCCAGGCTCTTCCTTCCTGGTTTCCTTGGCAAACTCCCCTTATGCGGTCACCCTTGCAAATCAGGGATCCTACTCTTGGCCCTCTTCTCATTCGTGGCCTCAATTATCACATACAAGTCCCTCTCTTGAGTGCCAGAAGACCTTCCTCTGCTGCCGGACATCTTCCATGTCACCACCACAGGCATCACTAGGTTAAATCACAAGTGGTTCTTCAAAGCAGACCCTCTGCCTGAATTTCCTATCTTCATAGGTGGCACTTCCATCCACCCAGTCGCTTAAGCCAGACTCCTGAGGGCCCCTCTGGGTGGGAAGATGGTATATTGTCACTTCTCCCTCTTCCGCATCCCGGGATCCTTCCTTAGGGCTCTCTTCTGGCATCTGTGAGCACCCCTTCTAGGCCTTCACGAGGGCCTCTCTCTTCCCAACTGTGTGTCTCGCCCTGCCCCTGCCTCAGCGAATTCCCCCATCTTTACTATCTGGACCATTCCAGTTCTACCCCTGTTGGATCCCCTGTCTCCTGTACGGTGGGCTCCAGTCCGGCCTCCGCCATTCCACCATAGGGATTTGCCTCCGATGCACATCTGTTATGTGCCTACTTAAAATTCCAGAATGACTCTCTACGGCCTATAGCATTAATTCTCCAACACCGCGAAACACAGTGCTCGGGAACTCCCTGCACACTTCACTAAGACGCAGCCTCCGCCAAAGACCGAGAGGCCGACGAAGCTGCCTCCCCCACCATACACCAGCACACTCGGCAAAACCTAGGCCCACGGGTAAAGCACAAATTGCCAGCAGGCCACAGAAGGCGCAGCACCCCGCCTTGGCGCTCGCTGTCCTGTCCTCGTGCCGTAAGCAGCAGCTATGAGGAACTGCTGGCGTCCCCATGTGTGCCCCTGCTATTTTGTGCCTCACCATCCTTGTGAATGCCGTGTGCTCTGCTTGTGATGCTCTGCCCCTGTCCCCGTGTGCCTGACACGGAGCTGAGATGTTGTCTTATTTCCTTGCTGCGGCCCCAGAACCCACCACACCGCCTGGCACTTTGTCATCAGTAAGTGATGTCGCTTGAACGAACAAACACAAGTGAACACTGTACTTTCGGGGGACAGCCAACATGCCCTCTGCTCTCTGAAGCCTTTATCTCCGTCCTCCCACACCACACACCAGGGAGACACTGTGCCCACTTTACATGCATCTGTTTCTAACATACCAGCTAACACGTGTGTCACTGTAGGGGACCAGGCGCCCAGCACTGTATCCCTGCACTGAGCCCAGCACCGAGCACACAGTAGGTGGTTAGTGCGGGTTGGCTGGACAGATGACTCCTAGCGGTGGCAGCCAGGCCGTTAGGACAGCCACAGACTGCATTAGCTTTTTTTGGCAGCTGTAGCACACTGTTTGTTCATTCTGGGTTTGCGATCGGCTAAATGCCCTTGAATCTTTCATATGAGCCAGGTCTGAACCAGGTCTTTCAGGTCTATTGCTCATACAGAATTTGCAGCTCTAACGGGAGGGCTTTGAATTTAACCCTATTCAATATCATCCGACATATTCAGCAGCCCGTCAAAATCTTGTTGAAACCTTACTCCATCCCCCACCTCGTTAGGGGGCCCTCCCTCCCACTTGAGTCGGCAGCAGATTAGGAAGCATGCCACCTAGATGTCACTTATGGTGATTGAAGTTGGCAGAGGTGTCAGAGATTCCGTCCCAGTTGACATCTGATAGTCAGTGAACTTTGGTTAAAACTGTTCAACCCTCTGGGAGTTTAAGTGGCAGAGTCATCCCCATAGGAAAGTGTCTGTCTCTTTGGGGTGGGCAGGGAGCTGGGCTGCTCAGGAGGACGTAGTGAGGCCACCTTTCCGCTTATGTGACCCAGATGCAGACTCCTTTCTGGCCTTTTTGTGAGGTCTCCTTGTTGGGGATGCTGTCGGCTGGGAGACAGCCTGCTCTGAGGTTGTTCTGGATTTTTGCAGATTGTTGGAAGCCCTGGTGTCCTTTCTTGATTTCTCAGATAAGAAGGCCAACTCTGCTATGGAACTGCTCACAGACTTGGCTCTGGAAGAAAGGTAATTTTTATTTCCAGAAACTGACATTTCCTTTTCAACATTTGTAAAACTGTCTGATCTTTAAAAATATGCAGTATGCAGGGAGGTTTGGCCAACTGAGCATCATAAGATTCACTGAGTAGAAGAGCCGCTGCCTTCCAAGCAGGGGGCTGTGGCTGGCCCTTCCAGTCCCCCCTGCCTGCAGGGGGACCCCCGTCCTTCATGGGTCTGGAAGCAGTAACAGACTTAAAAAATGGTACCTCTCACAGTTTACAAAGCTACTGTCAGTTGGAGAAGCTTCCTTCCCTTCATCAGTGCCCACTCGGAACTGCCCAGCAAATGTGTGTTGAATGAGTCTGAGAATAGAAAGCAACCTGCCCTTGGGTTCTCAGTGGCATTGTGGGTAATCCCCCCTTCCCTCCACTTAGCTGCTGGGGAAGACAGCAGAGGTCTTCAATTTTCATAATTCTTGGGGGTTTAAGTGCATCTTTGGTCTGTTTTTAAATCTCACAAACTTAAGGGTGTCTTGCTTAGCATGGTCCTATGATGAGAAAGAGCTGTCTGTGCCCACAGACAGGCCATGGCATGGGCCAGGAATGTGTCAAAGCCGCTCTAGTAGGAGCAGATGTGTGTGTATCTGGGCCCTCCTCACCGCTGTGCAATAAACATGCTTGCTCTGTGTTTCCTGTTTGCATGGCACACAGAACCAGGGGAGGGCCGGGCTGGTGGTGAGTGAGCTTGGCAGAAATCGAGGGATTCCAGCAACTTCCACACTAAAAGAGTTACCACGTGAGGTCTGCTATTTAACGTCAAAGGCAATTCTCCAGACTTAGAAAAATTAAAGCCACATTACATACCCAGTGACATTTTTTGTTGGTTCAGAATAAATTATCCATGCACACTGCACATCACACGGTCCCTGAGCCTGTGATACTCTGCTCCCTTACCCAAGACACCGTATTTCTGTTATAGTTTGTGCAGTGTAGAACTAAATCGTGGGGATGTTTTCTCCACAGATTCCAAGTCTGGTTCCAGGCCAACCTTCCAGGTGTGCTCCCGGCACTCACAGGTGTTCTGGTGAGCAAGCCCGCATTTTTCGCACCTGTGACAGACATTCGCAGACGCGTGAGCAGAGCCGTTTAAACACAGTTTACGCTCCAGAACTCCTGTTGTCTCTCGGGTTGATTAATCATTTCTTCACAGCTGGAATTGACACAATTCTGTTATTACAACAAGTGCAGTTGGGACAGGTGGGGAGGGCCTATGGATGGGGCTTGAGTGCCGGGGAAAAGAGGATGGGTGTGGACTGTGTCTTAGGTGGAGGCAGAGAGAGGGTGTCAGCTCCGGTCGGTCAGTCCCCTTCTGACCCCAAGGCTCGTCGTAAGTACCACGGGCAGCCGTGTCCCTGAGTGGTGGTCATCCCCAGCGGGAAGGCAAGTAGTGATTTGAGCTGATGAAGCAGGACATAGCAAGGTGGGGTCCTCCTAGGACAGCATGCTATGACTGGACCCTGTGCCATGGGAGTCATCAAAGTCTCAGGGGACCTGAGAGCTTGCCCACATGCCTGTATTCCACGCACATGGAAATGGAAGCTCTGAGAAGGGACGAGACTCGCCCCAGCCCTCCCAGCGGGTTGGTGGAGTCACTGAGATGAAGCCCCAGGCCTCCCCATCCCAGGCTAGGGTGCTTTTGGGTCCACTGCCTGTGTGCCTCCCTCCATGCTGGTGCCAGGTGGCCCCATTGGTACCCCTGGGTGACATTCCGCAGTCTGCTTCCCAGGCATTTTGCTGAGTGAGGGATGCCCCTAGAGACTGCTCTGGCATCGTTTGCCTGCTCTCTGCAGACTTTCCTTCTCTTGGCTCATTCTTAGAGGAGAGAACCTACAATAACCAACACGTCAGCTCTCTGCCAGTGTATTGCCCTCGTGGGAAACCTTAGTGCTGAGGCTGCCGTCCGAAGACAGATGTGTGCCTCTGAAGAGTTCGGGGATGCCTGTCTGGGCCTCATGGTACTGTGACTCTTCCGTTCAGAATGTAGTCCTTTACCTGCTTTGGGAGCAGTGGCTTCTTCTTGATTAGCCGGCTTTTCCAAAAATTCTTTTTGAGGGTGCTGGAGCCAGTGGCTTACCCCTTCTACAACCATAGATTTTATGGGTGGCCGGACTTAAAGAGCCCTCCATCCACCCTGGAGAGTTTGGAGGACTTTCTGGTGGAGTTGGCTTGACTGCCCACTCCCCAGTTTAAACATAGGACCGGGCCGAGCCACAGTCTCATGGCTCAGGCACCAGAGATTCCTTGCAAGTCTTCTCCACTAACATTAATTCACGGAACTGGTCTCTGATCTTCCACCATCTCCTAGGGTCACATCACTGACAGTTCAGGGTGCGTGAGTAACTAAGATCACTGCCAAAGGGATGAGGTGGCCGTGAAAAGCTGCAGGGCAGAAAGGTCACTGATCCCTTTGCTTTGTTTCCCAAGGCCAGGTGTGAAGAGGCTGTGGACCTGTTCAGAGACGTCCTGTACACGCTCCTGGGACTTGTGATGAACTTGTGTCTTCAGTCCCCCTTCATCTGTGAGGTACGGCAGTCTTTCCTCCCTGCCGGGAGCCCCGGCACAACCCAAGCCCAAGCCTGTGCATTGATAGAACTGCTCTGGCTTTCAGAGAGAGAATAGAAGCGGGGGACTCACACCCTGGTGGTGGGAATGGGGAGAGCAGGACGGACGCTGTGTCACTCTGCTCCAGAAAGTGGACTGAGTGTCCAGGATGTGCTGAGCACAGTGCTAGGTTCTGCCTTTCCAAAGTCAAGTAAAATGTGCTCCCCGCCCTCAAGGCATTGCCCTGTAGTTAGGGAGATGAGACAGTTGTGGGAAGAAGCAAGAGCGATGGAAGAAGGGGTCGTGAGAAAAATACGGACAGAGTGTGGCCATGCTGAAGAGGGAGAGGCCAGTGCTGTTGGCTCAGAAGGAGCTCCATGGAGGATTCAGATTAACAGGCCATTCAGACCTCCTCCTCTCTCCTGTTGTGGCAGGTTTGGGCTGTGGAGGTGAGCAGAAGGTGCATGTTTCTACTCAACAGCCAGGATGGAGGGATCCTGACAGTAAGTGTCTCCCCGGGAGATCCAGAAACAGCTTCCTTTGTTGTTCCAGGGGAGTCGGTGACCATCCAACCCAGTGCCCATCTGTGGACCCCCAAGAGTCCATGGACCCAAGTCAGGAATCTCTTTTCTGTATGGTTTGCAACTTAACAACTTCCACAGTTTAATTATAGGATTTGTCCTATTCCAAGATATCCTGGTGCAAATTGGACAGGTGATGAGATTTCATTTACAATCTTTTTCCGTAGTCAAGAAAGCCAGGCCTGTATTTTGAAGCCCATGATCCCAGAGGCTGTTTTTGCACAATGGTTTTAGCCCCCCTGGACATGCATGCTGGGGTGGCTTTCTTATTTCTGCTTCTGACATTGGGACAAGAAAGCTGAGAAAGACCTGTGGTCAATACACAGAGCATCGGGGGGACATCAGTATGATCCACAGACCATTTGCTGTCATCCAAGGATGTGTTGTTTACTCACAGAAGTAATCACCCCAACTTCTCCACCTATTAGGTCAGGGCCCTAGTGCTCAGAGAAACACCTGGGGCACATCCAGCAGGTGTGGGAAACCAATCCTCCAAGGGAGCACATACTGGAGACTGGGTCCAGGATCACAATAAAGGTTCTGAACAGATGCGACGAGCCCTGTGTGGGACTAGTGTGCCTGCAACTTCCCCAAAGTCAATTCAGACAGGACAGGGTGGAGGGTTTTCACGTGGACTCCTGGAGTGCATGGCAGGTCTCCAGGGTCCCTGGAACCCCCTGAAATTGTATAGACAGTTTTGGGGGCACATGCATTTTCAAGGCAGAGGCATCATGCCTTTCATCAGATCCTCAAAATAAAGACCCATCACCCCAAAAGTGGCAAGCATCACTATTGTCAGGTGCTTGGGTTTTCCAGAATGGTTTAGACCAGAGCTAGCGAGCTAACCTTTTAAGGACTCTCCTGGCCAGATGTTTCTAGGACTCTCTGCCTGTGCCTCAGTCAGGTGCTGACCGACCGGCTTGTTGGACAGAGCAGCAGTGTCACCAGGGCTATCTGGTCCCTTGGTAGTGGGCTCTCCCCTCTGTCTTGGGCCTAACAAGAGATCTGTAGTGTCAGCTGTGGCAACATTCTGGCACCTGTAGGGAGCAGATGAGGGAAATAAGACTGATCATATGGTAATACCCATATTTATCCCTTCTCTGTAGGGAAACCTCATTAAAATCAGACTGAAAACATTAGGGAAGGAAAAAAAAACTAGAAATCCACACTGACAAAATGAACAGGCAAGAGATCATCAGTCAGTTTTTAAATAATTTTAACCCGTTTCTGGAAGATAAAGAACACCTACAAACGTCATAGCTAGTGAGTCAGGGCTGAAGGAACCTCAGTGCAGAGAACAGATACAGAGGACAGATCCAGAGGTCCTTGTAGGACCCTGGAGAGGCTCAAGACTCCAGAACACCAGGTGCTACAGAGGCTACAAGTAAGAGATGGGGGACCGCGTGTGGCAATCAGGTGTCTATACCTCTGGTGGAAAATCAGAGCTTTTTTTCTCTAAGGGAATTGACAGGCCAGAGAAAAATGTTTTGCTTTCTAGTGTCTGGGAGTGCTACCTCTGCACGTGTCAGTCGACAGACTCCCAATAAACACAGCACACCGGAATATATTTTTATTGCTGTTTCATAAGTGTGCCCATAAATGGGCAGCTAAGGGTCACGGGACATTTCAGGGAAGCCACACACAGAAATAGAAAAAGCAAGAGAAACAGAAAAACATGAACCCAGAAGAAATAGAGATGATATAGGAAACAAAAGAAAAAGTGACGATCATTTGTGTCCTCCGAAAGATTCAAGATAACATATCTATAACACCTAGCAAGCTCTTTGATAAAAACAACAGCTAGCTCTTTGATAAAAAGCAAAGTGGAACCAGAAAATCATAAATGGCGTCCGCCAGAAAGCAGAACAGGCAGACAGAGATTCAGACAAGATGAAGGACAAGCTAAGAGAGAGACCCTGAGGATCAATCCAAGAAGCCTGCCGTCTAGTAAAGACCCTGCTACTCCCGGAGCACTGCAGGGTGTCGGGGCAGGACTTTCTTTGCCAGAGCTGACCTGCTCGGTTCCATGTAGAGCTGAAATGAATGGGGCCCCTGCATGCCAGGGGCCCTGTTTCCAGCCCTTGAGTCACCTGTCCTGCACCTGTATAATGAACACTGCTTCCTGCCTATTCCTTGGCCGCTACATATTTGTAAAACCGAGGTGCGTGTTTTGCTCCCCACACTAATGATTGTTTTCGCCTCACTAAACTACTTGCTGACTTTTAAAGGTCATCAGAATTTATGAACAGAACGATTAATGATCTTCACTTTCCGCTTCACCCAGAGAGCCGCTGGCGTCCTCAGCCGCACCCTGTCTTCCTCTCGGAAGATTATTGAGGAGGCCCTGAGAGCAGGAGTGGTGAAGAAGATGATTAAGTTCCTAAAGGTAGAGCAACTTACTGGGTTACAACCACTTGCATTTCCAGGAGCGGCACAGGTTATCTGAGGGACAGAATTAAGGAGGGTTTTGTTCCATTCAGGGGCTGCCATTTCACCCCTGCCCTCTGTGAAACTTCTTGAATGAGGATTCCTTCCACCTGTCACCCAAGACAGTGCTCTGAACATCACCGTAAGATTGCTGAACAAATCCGTAAATTGTTCATTAGAAGCATCCATAACAATTGGTGGCCACTCGAGCCTCACTTAAAAATATACAGGCTCTGTCCCTGAAAAAGATGGTTGGCATGGCTTTCCACAAGGTCCCACAGGCCCCTTGTTTGGCTCGTGTTCTGCTGGCCATGCTTTCTCCGGCTGTCTGGAGAATGTTGGCTGTAGCTCCGCTTATGAGGGAGGGAGGGGGCAGCGTTGCTCTGGGACAAAATGGTGCTTCCGTGATCTGAGTCAGCGCAGCAGCTGAAGTAGACCCACCGGAAGGACCAGGTGAATAAGGACCCCACGGGAGGCCTTCTCATAAAACCCCAGGCTGAGCAGGGCCAGGAGGCATGCTCTGTCGGGGGGCCACTGCTGAGGCAGGGGCAACATTGAGGGGTAGAAGGTTGGGTCAGCGTTATTAAGCTGCCACATGGACAATGACCATCACTCACCCCATGCAAGTCTTGCACCCCGCCGGAAACTGCTGATCACGTGCACACACATGTGCACTGTGCATGTAAATATGCACGTGTGCCTCTTGAAGATCCTGCATTGGGTGATTTTGAGGGTTATGAGTTGACAGTTGTCACCTCTTAAAATGATCTAGATTTGTGATGTTCTCCATGCAGGCCTGTCAGCCTGACAGCCTTAGCAAGTCATTCCCCATTCTCCAGTGGTGAGGTGACACGGTAAAAGGCGGGGGGGGGGGGGGGGGGGGGGCGCTCTTCCTCCCTCTTTGGTACATCTGCCAGTCAACAGCATCATGCCTTCCTCAGCCACTCACTCATAAAACCTTCTCCAGGCAATTACCCAGTGCACATGACAGGCCCGCATTCCTGTTGGGCTGTGGGCTGTGCTGCTGGGGACGGGAATGACACCAGCCTGGCAGGGCCCGGGCCTGCTCACCGGGAAGCACCCGCCATTCTCGGGGGAACTGTGTTTTAGAAGTTTAGGAAGCCGCTCACACAGGTACAGCTGCTCGCTGGTTTGTGGCCAAGAACAATCAGAGGAGTGACTTTATTTTTCCAATTTCATTCTGAAACCCAGACGGGAGGCCAGACCGCATCACGATATGCCGTGAAGATACTAGCTATCTGCACTAATAGCCAACACGAAGCACGAGAAGAAGTGATAAGACTGGATCAAAGTAAGTGATAGTTTCCCTGGGCAAGAGCCTACATCCCAGAGGTTAATCCCCCCTCACAGCTGCCCAGAGAGCAGGGGCGAGGCGTGGGGAGAGGCACTGCAGAGCCCTGTTAACCTCTCTCTAAACTTCTGCACTGTTTACTAAGATTATCTGTTTCACCCTGTTCTGGAAGCATTTAATTAGCCTTCAGCTGCACACAGGTAGCACACCCATGCTGGAGACCCTGCTGCAAAGCAACTCAAAGATGACAGGATCAAGGCCAGGAGCCACTGCCTCTCTCCTAGTAAACTGAAATGGTTTCTTTGGTTGTTTTTATTAATTTTTTTAACATTTATTTATTTTTAAGAGAGAGAGCATGAGCGGGCTCATGCAGAGCATCTGCTTCGGCTGATCTAACGCGAATTCTCTCCCTTCATGGAACTTTAGTGAGCAGGGAAGGTAGCAGAGTCGGAGGCAGCCTTAGTCTAGTAACTAAACATGGCTGCGGTCATGTACAGCGGGTGTTCCCAGCGAGGCAGCCTGCGAATGTTCTTCACACGTCCTCTGGCGTGGAAGAAGGAGCCCTTCTTTTTCATCCTGCTCCTTGCCCTGCAGCCACAGGGAGCAGACCCGGGGCCCCTTACTCGGGGCCCTCAGATGGAGTGCAGGGGCTTAGAACGGGGACTTTAGGGAAGACAGACCTGTGTGACACATAACATTTAGCCACACAACAACTGTGTCACGCTGGGCACTGCCCTGGGCACCCGAGAAACATCAGAGATGCATCCAGGAGCCAAGGAGGTCCATAGTACTCAGCAAATACTTGCTGAGTGACCAAGTGACATGTCAGAGCTTTGGGGAGGCTCAGTGTCACTGACACTCCAGGTGCTCCTCCTGTCCCTTGCTGTTTGAGGTTCAGAGGAACAGATGCTGGTTCTCTCCCCTCCCTCTAGAGTTTGGCATTCTGCTGAGGCTGCTCAGCTCAGAGGATGAGATTGTGGTGGCCAACGCTGCCCTCTGCCTGGGGAACTGCATGGAGGTGCCCCGTGCCGCGTCTTCCCTGCTGAAGACGGACATTGTGCAGGTGCTGCTAAGGCACGCAGGTGGCGACGCCCAGAAGACAGCCGTGCAGCTGAACACAGGGATCGCCCTGGGGAAGCTGTGCACGGCCGAGCCCAGGTATGCACCCGCTCCAAGCCGGGGTGGCCCGTGTCAGTTACATCCTGGAAGACGCAGGGCCAGCAGAGGTACCATGCATTGGCTATGTGGTGGCTGGGCCTCTGTGCCACCCAGAACTCCGTGGAGAGCCCCGGGAGTCCTGGTGCTTCCTGTGCACACAGGTGTTAGGCCCAGTAGCTACATCCCTCAGAGACCTGGGCTCTCAGGCTCCAGTGAGAGAGGGGGAGGATGCTTCTCTGACAGGCATCTGTCCTGTGCACTCACTGCCATCATCTTCCCTCCATTCCATTCTCTCCTTCTCTTCTAGCTTCTTGCCCATCTGTCCATGCATCCCTCCTCCTTCACTTTTTTGCCCGTTGCCTGAGCATGTGGGAGAATGCCCAGTGAGGGCCACATTCCCGTGCTGGAGGAAACTGAAGCAAGAATGGCATGTTTAAGACAAGCCAGGGCAAGAGATCTCTGCTCTCACTGTGTGCATTGCTTCCCTTTTAGCTCAGGCTTCTGTTCTGCTCTGGCTGGGTTCCGATGTGCTGAAACACCTAGTTATCATGCATGTCTGAGGGATGGAGTCCCGGCATAGGAGAGGGGTGCCTTCCATGGACAGGGAGCAGAGCTGGCTCCTTCTCTTCCAGACTAAGCCCTCTGATTCCTCCCCAGAGAGTGAGAGGGTCGACTGGGATCATATCTGAGGCCCTTTCAAGTTCTGTCTGATTGTTCAGATGGAAGGCACAGATAAAATCTTTCTTCTACAGAAAGCAAGGCACGTTAGCTAGGTTGAGCTCAAAGTGGCAACCTACTGGGGAGTCCCCGAGAGCAAGGCCCCGTCGGATCAGCCTGTCCATCTGCCACTCATGACAGTATTTACCGTGTTTTTGTACCTCCCTGAGCACCTTACGTGCTTTGATGGCCAGGGCTCCCAGGGCAACAGCTACTTCCCCTTTCTGCCTCACCAGCCAGCTTCTACCTGAGAGGGGGTGGCTCCAGGCACTATGGCATTGATGTCCTGAACTTGGTGTTCTGATTATGGCAGATTTGTCGCTCAGCTGAGAGAGCTGCACGGGATAGAGATTCTCAACTCCACCATGAAGTACGTGGCTGATTCTTAAGATATGTGGCGTCTGTGCACATTTTCAGCATCATGGGACTGTGTGCTAGGGGTGGTTCCTGTGCTAATAAAGACTGTCTGAATGGCCACTCCAGAGCTGGGCACTGTTTTCAGATGTTTGCCTTCTGGTTCTCACTGATAATGGCAGAGTGGGTGTCAGGCCGGCCGCGGTGTTGGAAACCACTCAGCATCCATCACACTTTCCTCCTCCTGTCCCTTCCTGCCCTGCAGGGCCTGGACGCCAGCAAACAAAAAGCCACATTTCCCAGATCCCCTTGTAAGCAATGTTTCTAGACAGGAACCAGACTCTTCCCGCCCCTTTGGCTGTTTCTGCTGGTAACATCCAAGAAACATCAAGTTTTTCGACAGCGGGATCTCAGTGTCCGAGTTCCAGCTCCAGAGTGCCCAGGGACAGTGGCAGCGGCAGTGGCAGCTTCTTCGGGCCTGGCCTGCCACTGTGCCACGTACTCTTGAATTCAGGGGGTTGAGTAGTAGGGGGAGGCTCCCGAGGCAGGGAGTTCTCTGTGATCCAGGGAATCGTTCCTGGAGGCGCCGCCTGGTGCCTTAGTCCGGCCCATCTAAGGGTGTTCTCAGCACCCTGTTCCTTGTGTCAGATGGTTTTCTGCTTCAAGTGCCAAAGCAGGGGCATCTGTTTCTGCCCTGAACTCGCATAAACATCGACATATTTGTTCCCTGAGCCCACTCTGCACTCTCGCCCCATCCCCAAAATGCACTGCACCCTTACAGCGGCCACCTCTGGACCCCAAGTCCCTAAGTGAAGAGTCTAGTGAGTGACACGACTCTTTCGCATCTCAGCACAGTCACATGACCATCTCAGGGTAGAGAGCAGGCCCCTCATGGTATAGTGAACACTGAGAGTCTCAGACTGGAGTTCCCAAAACTTACGGTCCTACCCCGCTTCCTGGCAGGTGCATGACTCTGGACAAGTCGCTTAACCTGTCTGAGCTTTGCAGCTTCTGGAAAAGCCAGACTAATAGCTGTCCAACCTATCACCCATGTTGCTGTCAAGCCTAAATGAAGTTTGGGAGCTAAGGGCACTTTGGGAATTACAAAGTGCTGCACAAATAGATTACCAGGGTGGACCTTGAGGTTGAGGGGACTGACTGTGGCATCAGCTAGATTAAATCTGAGGGCCCCAAGCCAGGGTAAAGCCCATGTCCCTTAAGGAATCAGAGCTGGACATTTTCCAGGCCATATAGGAAAGGAAATCCTCTCTCTCCTCAGAGTATTTATTCAACACACCCAAGAAACAATTCTCCACAAGTGAGGTAGCCCTTGGCATGAATTAAGAACTCTGCTCCTGAAACCATGATAGAGAATTGGCATTTTGAGGGGCCAAAAGGAAATCAATAGCCCTGAGACCCTAGAGCTGGGATCAGAGCACCGCCTGGGGCTGGAGTGAGCTCGCTAGAGCACTGTGATGGGGCCACAGCACCATCCCCAGGGGCATGTGACAGGCTGCAGCAGAGAGGCCAGGACCTGTCCACTCAGTCCCATCAGGCAAACAAACACACTTCAAGAGGCTACTGGATTGCAAAGGGAGTCAGCGTGATGCTAACTAAGCAGAGCCCAGAGAAGAAAGTCAGAGGCCGCCAAATGTGCTGTTTTCAGAGGGAATGCAGTGGAGCTTTAAAAACGGAAAAGACTGTCTGCCTGCACAACCAGCAGGCTCCTCTCCTTGGATTCCAAGTTCAGGCCCCTCCTCCCCCTCTGGCTGCACTCCTCCGTGGCTCTTGAAAATGGCTACTAGATGTGTAATCTCTTCCCCAAAGAGTGGGAAATATCAGATTATATTATTCTCTCTGCCTCAGAGTGCCTGCCAGAGCAGTAATGTTCCCCGCTTTGGAGGAAGGTCTGGCTGCCCCCGAAGAGCTCTCCCCTCTCGAGGATGGAGAGAGATGTTTTCCATGCCAGTGTTCATCTCCAGTGCAAGCCAGCCCTCCCTAACCTTGTCACCCCCAGCACACGTCACCATGCCGGGCTCCCAGGAGGCATGGAAAATACGGCTCCCACCATCCTTCCCACTCTCTGGGCCACGGCTTATTCAGGGAAAGCCAACCGCTGGTTCCATGGGCAAAGGGGTTGAGATTATCCATCCTAAAGAGAATGTGCCCATGACCAATATGGAACAGAATGACCACCCTGAGGCCACAACAGGGATGTCAGGTAACAGATGGCAAACAGCTGTCCTAGACAATGTGACGGCCATGGTCCTAGAGGTCAGCAAGGCAGGACTAAGGTTAAATGTTGGGAGGAAATAGCAGGAAGGGGCAGGACATGCCTCTGCAGGCACTTTCCTGAGGGTCTGTTAACAAGAACTTCCTGGCTTGGAGAGCCTGTTTTCTAAATGCCTTTAGAGTAGGGGCTCTTCAGAAGGCTCCGTAAGAGGAGAGAGTCATTGGAGGTGAAGAAAACATTTACTCTCCTCCCCCATATGAGAGACTCTCTCTTTGCTTTGTTTTACTTATTTTTTGAGAGGCAGAGAGACAGTGCGAATGAGGGAGGGCAGAGAGAGAGGGAGACACAGAATCCGAAGCAGGCTCTGGGCTCTGAACTGTCGGCACAGAGCCCGACGCAGGGCTCGAGCTCACAAACCATTTGATCATGACTTGAGCCAAAGTCAGACGCTTAACCAACTGAGCCACCCAGGCGCCTTGCGAGAGGAGGGACTCTTGGTCCTCACGGGCCATTGACCTGCAGGCCTACAGAGAGAATGAGAGAATGAATCATGCCCATGCACTGAGCATTTGCTCTATGCGAGGCACTGTAATAGGTGCCTAAATATCTTGCCCCATCAAAGCCTCACAGAGACGCTGTGAGGCAGGTATCATCTCCATGTGATGGGTAGAGAAACTAAGACATGAAGACAGTAAGTACTTCTTATCGAGAACCACATGGCTGGTAAGTAGGGGAGTCAGAATTTCACTCCAGCCTGGGTTTTCACTCCTTCCAGAGGCAAACATTCCTCCACTTACTGAACATAGCTTGGGGCGAAAGGCTTCTAGTTTCTCTGAGCCTCAGTTTCCGCTCTGTAAAATGGGAGCAGCAGCCCCTACTTACAGCATTCCTGGGTTTGGATTTAACAACCTTGAAGTGCCTGGCACAGGTGACTGGAAAATAGAAGGCTTGTACTTAATGGGGACTATTCAGGTGACTATTTTTAGGCTAGAAATTACCAGGAGCTCATTACCTGCCTCCTCCCACCCTCACCAAAATACACTCATCTCCTAGGCAGCCCATCTCAACGCAGGCGAGGTGTGTTTGCCTTTCCCTCTCTCCTGTGCCCGCTGGCAAACATGAGGGTCCCCCAAGACCCAGCTGTGGACCTGCCTTCTAATACCTCCAAGGCATCAAGGTCTGGTGGCCTGGGCGGGGTGGGGCCATGAACAGGGTTCACTGGTGGTGTGACAGTGCTTATTGCCTGTGGAGGTGAGGGGGGACGGGCTGCATTTACGCCAGCAGCACCCCATGAGCAGTGGGCTGGGAGCCCTGAAACGGGAAGGGCTTCAAAGCCCCCGTGACTTACAGATGCTCCCTGTATTTGTCCTCACTTTAGAATCAAGAGAGCCTGGGGTGCCTGGGTGGCTCAGTCCGTTGTCTGACTTCGGCTCAGGTCATGATCTCACAGTTGGTGAGTTCAAGCCCTGCGTTGGGCTCTGTGTTGACAGCTCGGGGCCTGGAGCCTCCTTCAGATTCTGTGTCTCCCTCTCTGCTCCTCCCCTGCTCACACTCTGTCTCTCTCTCTCCTTCAAAAATAAAGATTACAAAAAAAATTGACGGTGCTCATTCATCAAGATACTGCCAGAGGCTATGGACCCCCCCCCCACCTTCAGTGAGTGCCCAGGAAAGGGAGTAACAGCTGACAATCGCCTCCAACAAGAAGTTTCCAGGGGTCCTGCTGTGGCCTGGCACCTGTGATCTGAAGCCTGCCGGATGACTTTTTTTATTATTATTTAAATGAGACTTCTATTTACAAATATCTTTTCCCATTCCTTCCCTTGCCTTTTAGTTTGGTTGATTGTTTCCTTTGCAGTGCAGAAACTTTTTATCTAGAGGTCCCAATAGTTCATTTTTGCTTTTAATTCCCTTGCCTTTGGAGATGTGTCAAGTAACAAATTGCTGAGGCTGAGATCAGGGAGGGTTTTTTCCTGCTTTCTCCTCTAGTGTTTTGATGGTTTCCTGTCTCACATTGAGGTCCTTCATCCATTTTGAGTTTATTTTTGTGAATGGTGTAAGAAAGCGATCTAGTTTCATTCTTCTGCATGTTGCTGTCCAGTTCTCCCAGCACCATTTGTTAAAGAGACTGTCTTTTTTCCATTGGATATTCTTTCCTGCTTTGTCAAAGATTAGTTGGCCATACTTTTGTGGGTCCAATTCTGGAGTCTCTATTCTATTCCATTGGTCTGTGTATCTGTTTTTGTGCCAATACCATGCTGTCTTGATGATGACAGCTTTGTAGTGGAGGCTAAAGTCTGGGATTGTGATGCCTCCTGCTTTGGTCTTCTTCAAAATTACTTTGGCTCTTCGGGGCCTTTTGTGGTTCCATACATATTTTAGGATTGCTTGTTCTAGCTTCAAGAAGAAAATGACGTATCAGACAAAGGGCTAGTATCCAAAATCTATAAAGAACTCACCAAACTCCACACCCAAAAAAACAAATAATCCAGTGAAGAAATGGGCAGAAGACATGAACAGACACTTTTCCAAAGATTAGACATCCAGATGGCCAACAGACACACGAAAAGATGCTCAATGTCACTCCTCATCAGGGAAACACAAATCAAAACCACACTGAGATACCACCTCACACCTGTCAGAGTGGCTAAAATAAACAAATCAGGAAACTATAGATGCTGGTGAGGATGTGGAGAAACAGGAACCCTCTTGCACTGTTAGTAGGAATGCAAACTGGTGCGGCCGCTCTGGAAAACAGTGTGGAGGTGCCTCAAAAAATTAAAAATAGATCTACCCCATGACCCA